ACACACGAACACACGCGCACGCACGCACATACACACACACACACACACACACACACACACACACACACACACACACACACACATGCACACACGCACGCAAGCTTGCGTGTGCGTTAGTGTGAAATCCTCACATTCAGACCCGCCATGCATGACGTTTGACAACATTAGGGAAATGGCTGAAGGCCGTAGCGTGCGCGCACAGGTACGTACTCCTGCACGCAAGCATTCTCCATTCCAATACACACACGCACAAAAACACCACTCCACCGACTCCCACACTAGCGCTGTGTATCAGTGACCTCCGTGTGTTATATGCTCGTGTCCGTTCGCAGACACCGAATACACTGCAAGGTAGCCGGCTCGCCCCAGCAAAATAGTATAGTGACCGCTTACTGGCACATATACAGCCATCCTGTGTTCACCTCTGCTATTCCCGGAGTCGAAAACAACCCAGAGAAGAGACCGGATACCGGATACCGGATATATATATAGTATCAAGAGCGCATAAAGAAGGCTTCTTTATACGCTCTTGATAGTATATAATATCGCTGTTGTATGCATCTGTTGTTTACAATAATATCAAGAGCTAATAATACCTATAAGGTATAAGCTATTAGCTAGCTATAAGGTATTATAAGCTCTTGAATATATATATATATATATATATATACCTATAATATTACATACAGACGCACTGCATCGGCGGCATATGTAGGTCTCGAACACGGACACACGGACACACTAGGGCTAGCTTACCTGTTATCCGTGATTTCGTCCAAAAACTAATCAGCGTGTATCCGGGTGTGCACGAGCGATCCTCCGTAAGTCCGTGTGCGTATGTATGTGTATATGTATGTGTGTATAATTATGTATGTATGTATGTGTGTGTATATGTATGTGTGTATAATTATGTATGTATGTATGTGTGTGTATATACACGCGGGAATGCGCGTATCGGCTGGGATCTGTTGTTCGTTGTCACTGCTGCCCGGCTGAAAGCGCGGGACTGTACTCCCGGCGTCTGGTTCGCGGGCTACGTGACCTACATAGGTTTACACAGGTACACAGATGCAAAATGATCAACTAGAGGTGCCGTGCAACAACGTCGCAGGTAGAAGATCCTAGTTCCTGAAGCGATTGACGACAGCAACAAACACACATGCGCGCGCACACACAATACCTGGCGACCTATCTTTCTCTCTCGCGCGAGCTCCCGTGTACAACAGGTGTACGTGAGTGTATCTGCCGTAGTACACAGCTGGACATGACCGCACGCGTGCATGTGTACGCGCATACACGCGTGCGTACGTATACACGCATGCGTGCACATATACGCATGCGCGCACGTACACGCATGCGTGCACATACACGCGTGCACGCACGTACACGCGTGCGCGCACATACGCGCGTGCGCGCACATACGCGCGTGCTTGCACGTACACGCGTGCGTGCGCATACACGCATGCGCGCACATACGCGCGTGCTTGCACGTACACGCGTGCGTGCACATACACGCGTGCGTGCACGTACGGAATTTCCGACTCTCTGTGTGGCTTTATGTGACAGATTTTACCCCACTCATCTTATTCGCAGTTAAACATTACCCGGAGGCTTCAGCTATTGTGTAGCCATCAAAGCAACAACAGCAGCACGCTGAGTTTTTACTGAAAGAAACGTCTTGGCTGTCTACGATTCCCTCCATCAAAGAAGCCTTCTCCTGCCTTCTCCACTCCTCACCTCTTTCTCTCTCTCTCTCTCTCTCTCTCTCTCTCTCTCTCTCTCTCTCTCTCTCTCTTCCTCTCTCTCTCTCTCTCTCTCTCTCTCTCTCTCTCTCTACAAGCTATATCTCTCTTCTTTTTCTTGTTTTTCTTATTTTCTCTCTCTCTTCACCCTCTCTCTCTTTCTCTCTTCCTCACGTTTCTCTCTTCCTCACGTTTCTCTCTCCCTCGCCGATCGCCGCAACCCGGCGCATTCACACGGAACCGCTGCTGACACCTGGTGGTAGTTTATTCCCGCACTCACCACTTCAGCCACGGCCAGTAGCGCTGCAGTCGCTCCCCGACAGGAGTCGCCACCTTCTCCGCGTGCGGCGCCACTATCGGCTTCAGCCGGAAGTAGATCGCCATGGCAACGACGCAGCACGTGACTCCGATCAGCTCCTTGATGCCTTTCGGCCAGACGCCCAGCGGACGTACGGACGTGCGCACGGCGTAGGCGACGGCCGCGAAGAAGTAGACTGCATAGAGCAGCAGCGCCGTCACGCGGACGATGATGCCGATGCTGCGTCGGTGCTTCGCGTAGAGTGACGTCACGCCGTCGAAACAGCGTTCGATGACACCGGGCGTCGGGTCGGGCGGCGGGACGACGTCGCCTGCCGAAGTCTTGCCGTCGACGGTCAGAGCGTAGCTGTCTCTGCTGTCGTGAGGCTGGATGAGGGGAGAGAAGGAAGACGGGGATGCGTGAGACTCCGCCCGGGAGGCGGCGCTGCGATCGCTGGTGGCTACCGTACGCGTGTGCGTTATTGGTATGCGTGGCGCGTGGGTGCGTGCGTGGGTGTGTGTGTGTGTACGTGCGTTTATATATGTGTGTGTGTGTGTGTGTGTGTGTGTGTGTGTGTGTGTGTGTGTGTGTGCGTGCGTGGGTGGGTGTGTGTGTGTGCGTGCGTTTATATGTGTGTGG